ATCTAAATACCATATTTAGTTATATTTTAAAAGAAATAATGCATAATTATTTATTTAAAGATTTTTTTTGCCTTTATCACAGCCATATCTCCCTGCAGCCCAAGACCGGTTACTCGCTGATGCTAAGCAGGGCTGTGTCTGGTCTGTACCTAGATGGGAGACCACATGGGAAGACTAGGTTGCTGTTGAAAGTGTTGTTAGTGAGGCCAGCAGGAAGCACTTACCCTGTGGTCTGTGTGAGTCTTAAAGGTTCAGGACACCCCGGAGAACTTTTTTTTTTTTTTATATTATCAGATGTGTGTGTGTTGAGCATCATTTAAGACAATGTTAGCACCTGTCAGCTTTAATTGTGGGGAAAACTGGATAATTTTGAGCTTTTGTCAGCTATTTTCAGCTTCCGGGTTTAAAATGATTTTTGGGGCAGGATCAAAATCGGCGACGTAGCGCAGAACTGCAAGTGCAATGATGACGCGTCGGTTTCTCATTATTATTCATAGTGGAGTTTTCTTATCCTATGAGAAGAGCCGGCTGCTTAATTATTCATGAGACCTGCCAGAGTCAAGCCCGAGCTGAGAGACACGGAAACCACGGCACAGTATTTAGCCGTTTATGAAGGCTCATATGCGTTTGTTTCCATGATCCACGGGGTTTGTTGCATGTTTTCCCCCGCGATCTTGTCAGGGCCGATCATACAGCAAAGCTGTGTGTGTGCTGCTAGCATTTTTGTCGGGAGAGCAGCACGAGAATTAGAGAATGGCGGACGCTGTCTTTTATCAGGAGTTCGTTCACATTCAGACACATCTTTAACCGAAAGTGGGGGGTGTCATGGCCCTTTAATGGCCCAGTAAAGTGAAGGGGACACTATACTGTCAGTAGAGCATCGTCTTTTGGATGAGATGTTAAACCAAGGTCTTGACTCTCTGTGGTCATTAATGGCACTTTTCGTAAAAGAGTAGGAGTGTAACCCTGGTGTCCTGGACAAAATTCCATCTATCCATCAGCCTTTACGCATCATGGCCTTCCAATCATCCCCTTCCACAAAATTGGCTCGATCACTGTCTCTTCACTTCACCTATTGCTGGTCTATGATGAGCGCACTGCTGTCGTTGTCCTATGGCTTTTATAGCATCCAAGTAGATGTGTGAGAGACCCCCCCCCCCCATGATTGTGAAGCGCTTAAGGTGTATGGCCATAAACAATAAATGTGCTATATAAACACACATAACATTACGTTCATTTGATAGCACAGTAGGATGACAGGAAATGTTGGATGGGATGGGATTGGGAAAGGTCCATGAGTCGGGATTAGAACTCAGGGATCCCCAGACCACTACTGCGCTTTATATCAGTGCATTAACTTCTGGGCTTTATGCGCCAACATAATGCATTAATTTTAAAGTCACTTTCCCCAACACTGGACAAGACACCTATGAGCAGCACTGTTGTGATGTTTAGCTTTTATCCACAGGTGACCGGAGAACCTCTGATCCGCCGTAGTGATGATAATGAAACTACTCTGCGCTCTCGACTAGAGTCTTACCACAGGCAGACGTCTCCTCTAGTGCAGTACTACAGCGCCCGCGGCCTGCACACCGCCATCGATGCTTCTCAGTCCACCGACCTCGTCTTTGCCTCAATCCTCGCTGCCTTCTCTGCTGCTACCTGTAAAGATCTCGTTTATTTTGTCTAAATAATCTCTGCATCTCCTCTTCCTTGTATGCTTTATAATCATTAAATTCATTTCGTGCTTTGTGGCAAAACATGGCTCTTCTGAGGAAAAAAATCAATAATAAATTTGATTGTAAAACTCAAACTAAATGTAATGTCTCATTGATTAGGATTACATTCAGTTGTTTATAAGCCTTCATTTTACGATGGTACTGTAGCGCTTTTTCTCTAACCAGACACCTGTAAAAAGGTATGGTTATGTCATTTACACTAAATGAAATGTAATAATTACTAAGACTTTCTGGTTGTCTTGAGTCTTGTAGTAATGCACGATCTCCACCAGAGGTCGTATGAATGCCTGGTTACATTATTGAATGAAAGAAATTAATCATTAAATGCTTTATTGCTTATGTTTATCAGTCTGTGAATCATTAATTTACGTCTGGAACTTTCTCTTTTTTTTCCTGCAGCTGTATGAAATCCAGTTTCTCCCATCCAGGTTGAACCAGATGTGAAAATAATGGATGGGGGGGGGAAAGGGGACGCTGGAAGTGTCTCAGATGTTAATTTTTGAACATTCCATGTAGTGAGTGTGTTTTGTAATGAACACCGATTCGACTGAAACCCAGTTGATGACCTCCAATAAACTGGAGAATATTTTCTACTACATTACAATGCAGTGTTGATTCTTTTTAATTCTCCTTTTCCATATTTACCTCTAAGTTATCAAAAGGAATAAAAATAGGTCAGTGATGTGGTATTGTGGATTGGCTGTCAATCAGGGCCGGGGTGGGAATCTTTTTCAGCCCTGGAGTTTCAAGCCTCAGACCGGCCCACCTCAGTTCACCACTGACTATATTAAAATAAGGTTATTTCCAATTCAGTTTCTAATTACACTATCATGTCTTTTTTTTTTTTTAGAAAACAGCTCTTTTAGAACTTCAAATGTTCAACAACCCTTACAGTATTATGTCTTAACAATAAAAATGAAAAAAAAAAATTTGTTACTCAGACAAGGACCGAACCCAGTACCAGTGGTAACCACTGTACCACAACAGCTGTACGTTGAATGGTGACTTATCTAGTTATATCATCATTAACCTGCAGGCTGCATCCTGATCACGAGGCTACGAGAAAATAGATAAAAAGAGCAGAGCTGCGGTAAAATAATGAATAAGAAGGCTGTGGTCAAGTAAATAAATAAATTATTTTTAAAATGTGTGACTGCTGAGAGCGACAGATTCTGGAACTAGGGACACCGGCCCTCACGGCCTAAAAACAGACCGGCCCACCGGGAATTCTCCCGGTCCTCCCGATTAGCCAATCCGGGCCTGCTGTCAATTAGATTTTAAGATCGCTGAATTCAAAGGCAAAGGCTGATGATTGTGAGTCTGCAGGGGTTTTTATAAGGTGACTGAATAAACAGGATACGCCATCATAAATTATATGAAAGGCTAAGGCCTCTAGATAACGCTTATTTTACCAAAATAAAATGTGATCACGCCTTAATTTAATTGGGGCAGTAAGGTCTGACTTTGCTATGACAAAAGTCTTGTCACTTAACAGAAATAATGTACAGTACAGAATATAAAGTCATAGTGCAGTGGGAAAAGAATTAATATTGTGTTTGACTCGCATTAGATTGGACGACTGCATTCATGCATCCCTGCAATGACTCTAATAACTTGATAATAAAATCATCTGAAATGGCAAAGAAAGCGTTCTTGTAGGACTCCTAGATTTCATCAAGATTCTTTGGATTCATCTTCAATGCCTCCTCCTTCATTTTACCCCAGACATGTTCAATAATGTTCATTTCTGGTGACTGGGCTGGCCAATCCTGAAGCACCTTGACTTTTGCTTTCAGCAACTTTGATGTGAAGGCTGAAGTATGAGGAGCGCTATCCAGCTGAATAATTTGCCCTCTCCTATGGTTTGTAATGTAATGGGCAGCACAAATGTCTTGACACCTCAGGCTCTGCGGATGCCCCACACTGAATGTAACCCTAAATCATGATTTTTCCTTCACCAAACTTGACTGATCTTTGTGAGAATCTTGGGTCCATGCTGGTTCCAGTAGGTTTTCTGCAGTATTTGTGATGATTTGATTTCAACAGATTTCAACAGATGATTCGTCTGAAAAATCTACCTTCTGCCACTTTTCCAAGCAATCAACTAGAAATCAAGATATTATTTGTTGCCCTTACAACTGGGAATCATGACAAGACTTTTGTCAGGTAGTGTACATAGTCGTCATAAAGTGATGGATGTGGTCAGCAACTACAGTCGGGTAGGTTTTGGATGGGCATTTACTGAAAGTTTTCAGAAACTTATTACAATGCTACAATTTTGGAGCAAAAATAAGGGAAGTGCGAGTGTATGAAGTGTAATGCTGGGTTTCCCTGATCATGGAAACAACTAGATGCATCAGGGAGTTTTCAAATAGTTTTTTCCAAGCAACATTATAAATAAACATACATATACACACTTTTTTTTTTTTATTAAAGACATTACATAGGCCTTTATTTTTTATACTAAGTTAAAGCTATTTTCAATAACCTACCTTCACACAAAAGCAATACTATTTCATTCCATTTTCAAAAGCTTAATATTAAAATTGTAGGATATATATATATATATATATATATATATATATATATATATATATATACTTCCTGATATAACTTCCTGAATGCCCAATTTTATCGTAATTAAACTGTTAATTAAACCTAATTGAATGTGATTTTATTTAATATTAGTCTTTAAACTATTGAAACAAGTTTAAGAATTATAAATGTCCACTTTCACAGTATGAGGCCTCTTGGCTGGTTAACCTCTTACAAGTTCATTCTTAGTCCCTTTATTCATCAGGGGTCGCCACAGCAGAATGAACCACCAACTTATCCTTTGTAAATCTGTTTTACACAGCCCTTCCCTTCCTTGCAGTCCAGTACTGGGAAAACACACTTATTTACACACATACACTACGATTAATATGGACTGTGGGGGAAACCTCGGGCAGGACATGTAAACTCTACACAGAAACGTCAACTGACCCAGCCGGGATCCGAACCAGCAACCTTCTTGCTGTGAGGCGACAGTGCCTCACCACTAACTACTGAGCCACCGCTTCTGTATGCGTTTCGTTGTATTATAACATGTGTATGCGTTTAACTTGTACTCACGTGCTCTGGTATTCAGGAAATTGTTTTGAAGACTCGTTTGAAGGCCGTGTTTTGCTAAACAAATTACAACTTTGGCGTTACGACGCACCTTTTCCGTTTCGAGCTGACGTAAATGGGCGGAGCTTATCACTCGAAGGCCAGTGGCGTCACACGCAGGGGCTTTCCTCGGTGACGTGAATGGAAAAGAGAATCAAGCTGCGGACATAATCTGAGCGATATCACGTTCAAGACAGAAAAAAGGGCTGAAATCTTCCCCGCGGACTGACGGTCGGGGAAATGCTGTAGCACAGAGCCCTCGGGTTACATTTGTTAGCTTTACAGTGTAGTTAGTTGAATGTGACGGTTGTAGAAAAGCAGCGAATCTCACTGCGCACCGCCCTGTTCTGCTTCTGTACTATCAGATATCATCAGGACGGTAAGTGCTCTACAGATCCGCCGTCATCGCTACAATGGACAATTCTCACCCAGTTTACCTGTTATTATATGATGTAAAACTACCGTGATGCTGGCAAAATGTTTTGATATCTCCATGTATGATAGCACATATCTTGTTTGGATGACTGGCTGCTTGAATACAATCAGCATTGTGTTATTTTACTGTACACTGTTGTTGAAAGGCAGAAATACCACAAAATTGCCCTACAGTAAAGGAATTAGCTTATTTAAACAATTGTGATTTAATGAACACTCAGAGAATGTCAAAATTGAATAATAAATTTATTCTCTTACACACATTTATCACCAAAAATATTAATTATAAATAATATATTTGCTTAATTTCAGCATTATGGATGTGACATTTGCAGTAAAAATTCAAAACATAAATTGACAGAGAAAGTCTTTGTTAACATTATATTGAAACATCTGTTTATATTTTCCAAAACAACTCCCCTTAGAGTTATGGGATCAGAAAGATAAAAATTTTTAATATTTTACATGAGGAAAATAAACATGCGTTATAGATGTGATCAAAAAAGTCAGCGAGTTTACAGTATACAACATACTTCGTAGAAATTCTGTAAATGAAACTGCACAATTACACTATATTAATATTTAATATGGATATATACATTAAATAGAGTATTTTAAATTATCAATGAACATATTCCCCCTGTGTGTGTATATATAAAATGGTACCTAAATAGAAAAGGAAATGTAGGAATGGACTTTAGAACAACTTTTGTCCATCAGCAATTGAGTGTATCATTGTGGTTTACTATTGATCAATTCTATGTGATTGACAAGTCGTTCCGCCCTCACAGCATTAATCTTTGATTACAGATTATGTGGGTCATTCATAAGTAAAAATGATGTGCTCAAATAAATTATTTATAATAAACACTACTATAATATTCCATAAGTTTTATTTTAATTTATTTAATATAAACATATTAAGGGATAATTCACCCAGTTTTAAGCTTCTTCCTTCTGTTTAAAACAAATAAGATAATCTGAAGAATGTTAGGTTTAAAAGCAGCCATTGACATCCATAGTAGGAACCATAAAAACACTGTGGAAGTCAATGACCTGTTTAAGTTCTTTTCCACCAATATTTTCCACCAAATATCTTCCTTTCAAAAAAAAAGTTTTATGTTGGCCCTGTCAAAAACACACTCTTTGTGGTGTTGCTTCCTCAATAGCACCTTTCCAAAAATAGAGTGTACATGTTCGTCATTAACTTCACAGTATGTCATAAACTCATTGAGTAACTAACTGTACACGTGTTGGAAGTTTTAGCTCATCCTTCTAGTGTAAGACAGAAATGCACAGTACAACTTGAGTTTCAATTCTGCTTTTGCCTCACCAAACATGAGGTTAATTCCAGTCTTGTCTTGTTTTTCTGAAATGTTGGGGTAATTCTTTTTACAGTAAACCACCCTATGATTGTCGAGAACTGATAAAATCGAGATCTTAGGTTTCACAAGAAAGCCGTGGCTGGTTTTAGCTGTTGTTGTCAGTGCCTGTGAATGCCGCACAGTAGTGTTAGTGTTGAGTGTTGCTTGTGAATCTACGTAAAAAGTATTTGTGATCATGTTATTAGAGTGTTATTGGAGATTGCTATGAGGATCGGGTAAAAGATGTGGGATGAGCTGGAGAACAGACAGTCTGGTTCTTATAGCACGGAGGGGACGTGAATCAGTGCAACACCTGCTCTGAACAGACACTCACACAGACTCGCAGCTTAAAGAGATTTCATTAAGCATTACAACTCTTCTAATGGGTTAGTTAGTCAGTCCGTCTGCCAGTACTTCCTGCTGGAAAACTCTTACAGTGGAGGATCAAAATTTGGACCGATCTTTAGCTTAGTTCAATGTAAAAATGTCAATTCTATTGTTTATTCACCCTCATGATGTTTCAAACTAACACAATTGAAGATATTTGTAATAAATTCAGAGAGATTTCTGTCCCTCCGTTGACTAAGCCAAATATTAATAACGAGACCCACAAATAAATCCATATTAATGAAGCTGTTAATTAAGTTGAACCTATTGGCTTTAATGTTGTGTTCACGCTAGACACGGATGAAGCGTCAAGTGCGAGTGATTTACATGTGAAGTCAATGTAAAGACGCGGGCGTTTCACATAAATGATGCGATTCGTGTTTTGCACTTTTGACGATTCGATCGAGTTGGAAAATGCGGACATTCACGCCACGTTAACCAATCAGGAGCTTGCTCTAGTTTGGGCGTGATTATGACGTAGAGCCTGCAGTTGGTGTCCTGAGGGGAAATCCTCCTGTCGACACCGGACAGCAGCTTATCAAACTGGGCTTAGCTCAGTCAGAAGCACCGCTGCAAGCTTCCATCATCTAGGTATAGTTTCTGGAAGAGTTTATGAAATCACAAAAAGGATCTAGTGCACTCAGACACGACGCCGAATGAATCTACGGTGTTTTTCAGCCCTCCTAAAGCAGATAAATGCAGCTAATCTCTCAATAAGTTAACCATTTAGCAATGATGCTAGAGTCACCGGGTAGACTATTTTGAAGTGAATTTGACGTGTGAATGAAGCGAGTAAACTCAAAATGTTCATGCGTCTATTTACACGTGAATAACTAGATTCATTCGTAGGTGCCGCATCTGGTTTGAACACAGCATAAGACTTTAATTCAATTCATTGAATTCATATCATATTCATACTCATACCTATGTCCACCCGGAATCTGACGCGCAGCAATCCACAGAATTTCGGCCCATCATTGAGTCTACTTACTGGTGTAAATGTGTAGGCTTATATTTATTCTGTTTTTAAAGTAACTTCGACTAATACTAATTTCGTAATTATATTGACTAATATGAAAGTGTTAATATGATTTATTTACAATACAGTTTGTAAAGTAATATTTTCTGTCTTTTAGTAGAGATATTTTATGAGAGACTTGTTTTGTTTACCAAATAAGTGGATCTAGATAGATTTGCATTGTAAACATTAAGTAAAAGTTAAAAATGTATTATTTTTTATTTCATATATTACGTTTTTTGTTACGATACTCCCAAAATAATTCTGCATAATCCGCAGACTTTTTACAAAATTCTCCGCAGAAATAGCAAAAAACGTCAACAGATTCCGTTTGGCCCTGCTCATACTATATCATAGACATATTTCTACAGATTCATATTCATTCATGCTTATTAAATTCACACTTCAAGACTTGAGTTCATATCGTACTTCGTTTCGAGTTTTGGGTGAATATATTTTGAATGGAGGGACAGAAATCACTCATATTTCAACAAAAATATCTTTATTTATGAATTTTTTTTTTTACTTTTGATCAAACGGCGTGTGACTATATTAGCATTAACATTATAACATGAACATATTAACATAACTATGTAAATATTATGGATTAGTCTACCTAAATAAATAATTATTGTTATTATCACTGCTATCTGCTCATGATTTTATTATCCAAAATAATAATGGTTATTTTATTATTATTTTTATTCTGCTGTAGTACTCAATTTTTTGAATTAGCATTTACTATTTACTCATATGTTTAGACTTTCTGTTTTAATTTGAACTTTTAGTATTTTATTAATTTTAAAACTTACAGTGCTTAGCATAAATAAGCACACCCCTCACTAATCTCTCTTTTAAATTCATATTTTTAATAGGAATACTCTACAATAATATATTTGTGCATATACATTAGATTAGTCAGTACAGCCAAATCTGGAGCTTATCTATCAAAATAACTTACAATAACGGTCCAAAAACTAAATCTAGTACAGCCAAATGTATATTTTAAAGAAACATCTTAAATACAAATTTGAAAAAGAGGAAAAAATCAGTAGAAGCAAAAAAATGTTTATAATTTAATTGAAAATTTTTTTTGCAATATTTTGCTTGAGTTTAATTATATTATATTTCAGTTTTTTTAAATATGTGTAGTGACTAATATATTATTTTAATAAATATATCTGTATAATAAATCTGTTTTATTTAAATGCACCAAAATACATTATCTATATTTACTGAGAAATGGATACAAATATTAACTTTCAAAATGGTGTGCACTCATTTATGCTGAGCACTGAATTTCAGGTATAGTTGCCATTTGCCAAGGCATACTTTTAATCAAGTTTATATAAAAGTATTTAAATATTCTTAAATATAAAACACATTTTTCAGAAGAAAATATTTTGAAAAATCTGTTTAATAATCTTAAATATACAGTTGAAGTCAGAATTATTAGCCCCCCTGAATTATTACACCGCTTGTTTGTTTTTTTCCCCAATTTCTGTTTAATGAAGAGAAATTTTTCAAGACACTTCTATACAGCTTAAAGTGACATTTAAAGGCTTAACTAGGTTAATTAGTTTAACTAGGCAGGTTAGGGTAATTAGGCAAGTTATTGTATAATGATGGTTTGTTCTGTAGATTATCGAGAAAAAAATGTAGCTTAAAGGGGCTAATCATTTTGTCCCTAAAATGGTGTTTAAAAAATTAATAACTGCTTTTACTCTAGCTGAAATAAAACAAATAAGACTTTTTCCAGAAGAAAAAATATTATCAGACATACTGTGAAAATTTTCTTGTTCTGTTAAACATCATTTGGAAAATATTTAAAAAAAAGAAAACAATTTGAAGGGGGCTAATAATTCTGACTTCAACTGTATATAAAAGATTTTTCAAATCATTTTCTTTTGTCACATTTTGTAAAGTAGTGAACCATCGGTTGTTGTCAATAGTTAGTGAATAACTACTTAAATGTCATATCATATGATTTTGGAATATCTTACTGTTCATATAAACTGTTTTTATGAGAAATCCCCCCTTTTATGTATCCTGAAAGAAAGTAGATCAAATGTTTGGGGAAAATGAGACTGAGTAAATGTCAATTTCATTTTATGGGTGATGTTCTCACCTTCTTTACTTTGCTGCTAATTGAAATAATTGAACAATATTTTGTGC